ACCCGCGGCCTTGGTGTTATCAGCACCGCACTCTACCGAGTGAGCCACGGGCCGGCCCTACGCACACATTTTCTAACTATCCACACATAAATTCTACCACAATTATAAACGTGCAAAGACAAGAGACAGTGTTTTTTTTGTGTGTGTATGTGTGTCAGCATCCATTACAGTATTAGGCGCATAGAAAGCGTCGATATAATGCTTTTCTTGAACTACCCAGGGATGTAAATCCTTTCACAGATTCATTTCCAGCTTCCCCAAAGCTGCCACTGTTACTGCCCCCTTCACCTCCACCCTAGATCCTTAGAACACTGGCAAGAAGGAATTTGCTTATTGTTGCAGGGATCCACACCCTTTAGCAGCGTGACTGTAGCTTTTACCCAGGATGGGTGGAGGCATCTGGTCCCCGCTCCAAAGGACAGGTTCATGGAGGGGTTACCAGAAAAGACCAGGAACCTGGTCCTACTGGGTAAGGAAACTTTCTTTAAGATTGAGAATCACCGGATGGCCAGTTAACCTGGTTGGCTAGAGCTCGGTGTTATAAAACTGAGCTCAAATGTTCAGACCCCCAAACTAGCCAGCCACCAAAAAAAAAAAAAAAAAAAAAATTGAGATTTGGCTCTATTCTGAAAATCTGGCACTTTCTTTCCAGTGTGTAGAGATCTCTAATTACTGTGATGCACCAGAGGGATGGTGTTTACTCCTCCTTGTTCCCTAATGGAAAGCCTCCGCATGCCTTGTCAGCAAGTAGGCAGTTTCTCTTTGCTTCCAAGGCTACACCTCCCCATTCTCTCATTTCCTCAGGGTAGTTCTCTATTTTCAGTAAGTTACTGTCTTCTTAAGTAGGATACTTTATGGGCTTAGCTTAGCTCCTTGGCTTGACCCCTCCTTGAAACTATTTCTTTAGTTTCTTGCAGAAAGGCTTTACTAAGACCTTGGCACCATGTCTGTCTTACTTTCTGTATCCCCTAATGCCTACACCAAGTGAGTGTTCAATAAATATCTGTTGGAGCTGGCCAATCAGACTGTGCTGTTATAACACCAAGGCATCAAGGTCAAGAGTTCAGATCCCGGGGCTGGCCCGGTGGCGCACTGCTATAGTGCGCCGCTTGGGAAGTGCGGTGGCGCTCCCGCCGAGGGTTCGGATCCCACATACAGACCGGTTCCCGCTCACTGGCTGAGTGAGGCGCGGGAGCAACGCCGAGGGTTGCGATCCTGTTGCTGGTCCCGGTCCAGTGCAGGGGCGACACTGAGGGTTGCGATCCGTTGCCAGACACGGAAAAAAAAAAAAAAAAGAGTTCAGATCCCCCTTTGGCCAGTTGCCAAAAAATATATATGTGCATTTATTGGATGAATGAAATGAACAACATAACTGGTAGTTTTATCTGTCTTGAGTTCTTTGTGGCTATTTATACTTAGGACGATGTCTAAAGCCTGTGTATTCCCCCTTGAAGAGGACTTTCCATTTCCCAGCCTGTCATGAACTGCTAGTTGGAACAAGGAGAAGGCACAAGGCTACTAGAGGGAGAAGACCTAAGTACTTGTCCAGGTAAATGGACAAGCACTAAGCCAGGGAAGGTCTTGGGAGCAAAAGCCCCTTTGACACACAGTTTGTAACAACCCTAATTATTATCCCCATTTTACACATGAGGAAACTAAGCTGAGTGACATTAATTGAATGGTTCAAAGTCTAACAGTTAGAAAGTGGTGAGGCTGGGAGTTGAAGCAAGGTCTGTCTAACTCCAAATCTCACTATTCCTCACCTCCTCCTCACAAGGTCTCATAGGGCTAGGAGATGTCTGGGGCATGTGAGATGTTATGGGCCACTGGATGAATATCCTTCCTCACTGATGGGGAATGACAGTCATCTTTGCTGGCCTGACACATTCCCTGCTTGGGGTTCACTTCATTGAGGATCTTAGGTGCCCGACCTTACCCACACTATCAGCTGTGATAGCTCCTTCTACCGCCACATCTGGCCCTTATTTGGAATCTGCTCCCTCTTTCACCTCTGTGTGGCCGTGCCAGAATTTTCTTTTTTTTTTTTATCAAGGATGACCAGTAAGTGGATCTTAACCCTTGGCTTCGTGTTGTCAGCACCACGCTCAGCCAGTGAGTTAACTGGCCATCCCTATATATGATCCGAACCCGTGGCCTTGGTGTTATCAGCACCGCACTCTCCAGAGTTAGCCACGGGCCAGCCCCATGCCAGAATTTTTTTTTTTTTTAGGATGACCGGTAAGGGGATCTCAACCCTTGCCTTGGTGTTGTCAGCACCACACTCTCCCAAGAGAGCCAATCTGCCATCCCTATATAGGATCCAAACCTGCGGCCTTGGTGTTATCAGCACCACACTCTCCCGAGTGAGCCACAGGCTGGCCCTATGCCAGAATTTTTAAAGGGTGATACTAACAAAGGAAAAATAGAAGGAAGGGAAACCATAGCTTCAGGTGTTTCTCTCTTGCTACCCATCTAAGGCTGCTCCCTCCTGCCTTTGTGTCTCAGCCTCTGCTCTTGTGGGACCTCTGCAGGGTCTCATTAGCTGGGGATCCAGTCAGTTTAATGTTTGAGACTTAAAGCATCAAAAGTAGAAATGAATTATGCCACTTTAAGGTAAGAGCATTTTACTGTTTGTTTTGTTTTTTGGCAGCTGGTGGCACAGGGATTTGAACCCATGTCCTTGGTATTACAAACACCAGAGTCTAACCAGTGAAGCTAACTAGCAGCCCCCATTTTACATTTTTTAGAAAACTATAACCTGTTTCTTTGTTGCTTTATTTCTTTAGTTACAAATTATTGTTGCTGAAATGGCAATGGGAACAAAGCCTTTGGCCTATTTTGTGCATACTTCCTCAGAAATCTCTCTTCTTCTTTTTTTTTTTAAAAGATGACTGGTAAGGGGATCTCAACCCTTGACTTGGTGTTGTCAGCACCACGCTCACCCAGTGAGCAACCGGCCATCCCTATATGGGATCCAAACCCGCGGCCTTGGTGCTATCAGCACCACACTCTCCCGAGTGAGCCACAGGCCGGCCCCAGAAATCTCTCTTCTTCTTAGTGTCTTACTGTCCCCTTCACCTGTCACATTACCTTGGCCCTCGTTGCAGCACCAGGCACCGCTCATACTTGCTAACTTTGCCTTTTACGGGGAGTCTCACTAGTCCTGCTGCTGCCTTCTCCCAAGAGCCCTCCTTCCCAGCCCACCCATATTTGTTATGTAGAGCATTTTCACCTGAATTCATAGACCCTGTGTGGAACTTCAGAAATTGGATGCAGTGTTGTGGCTAAGGGAACAATTGCATTTTTCTGGGAAAAGTGTTCATCACAGTCTCACAGGGGTTCGAGATCATAAAAAGGCTACCATGTTAGTTTTCTAGGACTGCCATACTAAATAACCGCAAACTGGGTGGATTAAAACAATAGTTCTGGGAGCTAGAAGTCTGAAAGTGAGGTGTCAGCTGGATTGTGGTACCTCTGAAGCCGTCTTAGTCCATTTTTGTGTTGCTATAATAGAATACGTGAAAACAGGTAATTTATAAATAAAAGTGGTTTATTTGTCTCACGATTCTGGGACAGCTGCGTGTGGTGCGGGCCTCAGGCTGCTTATAGCGGAAAATGGCGGGGCATGGTTGACAAAGCAAGAGAGACGGAGGTGCCCAGCTCTTGCGGGAACTAATAGAGCGAGAACTCACTCACTACCCACCCCCAGGGAGGCTATTCATCTTTGTGTGATGGATCCACCACCTATGACTCAAACAGCTCTCAACATGACCACACTGGGGGTCAGATTTCCACACGAGCTCTGGGGGGAAAACACATCCAGCCCCCAACAGAAGCTTCTGCAGAAAGACCCTTCCTTGTCTCTTTCTACCTTTGGGTAGTCGTCAGCAATCCTCGGTGTTCCCTGGCTTTTCGATGCATCACTCCAATCTCTGCCCCATTGTCACTTGGCATTCTCCTCTCTCTGTGTCCAAATTTCCCTCCTTTTACAAGGTACACCCTAAACCATTATGGCCTCAACTTGATTGCATCTACAAAGATCCTATTTCCAAATAAGGTCACATTCTGAAGTTCCAGGTGGGCATGAATTTTGGAGAGTACACTATTCAACCCACTACAGTTACCCCAAAAGGTTCAAATCACCATGTTATCAGAAACAGAAGTTGGCAAGGGGCGTTACCACCAGGCGTGTGTGCTCTGAGGCAGTAGTTTAGGACAGTATTAGCAGCTTTGGATGTGTGCCTGAAAGATGCACTCAGTCCTGCCTTACTATCCATTAACCACATGGATTCAGGGAACCACTGAGTTATGTAGTCATGTTTCCGTATGTATGAAGAATGTGTGTAATAAAACCTTTCTTGCTTATTTTACAAAGTAATACATATTTTTTTAATGTCAACTGTAGAGTTATATGAGCCATGTGATAGTGAACAGATGTAGTTGGGGACAGGTTTTCACTCTGGCTGTTACAGTAACTAAATACCGGCTCTGTGGAATGGCACCTCTGCTCTGAGACCTGCAGTGCATCCTGGGCATCACTGTGCCTCCGTGAGCTGGGCTCAGGCCCTCCATTATTCCACCCCACACCTCCCAAATGACAGACCCAGGCGTGTAAAGTGCCTTTCACCTTGCTGCTCCCTTTGGGGACTATTGTGATGGATGCTGACGTTTCCCTGACCCCGTTGGTCAGTTTTGCTTATTATCATTCATTGAATTACTCATAAGTCAACAAATGTGCATTAAAGCATTTGGTACACGCCTGGCGTCGTTTTAGCTACTAGGAGTAGCTAACAGAGACAAGACATAGTCCCTGCTAACATCTCACATCTTAGTGAAGAACATAAATAACATGATTGAACATGTAGTTTTAAGTGATAACTGCTGTGAAGAAAATAAAGCAGGGTTAGGGGCTGGGGGAATGTTTTACAGGTGGGCGAATGGGAAGACTGACAAAGATGCTGGCTTGCAAGGGAAAATCAGGGGCTCTGTTTTGGGCATTACACTCAAGGGAGATGTGGGCTGAGAGATGGGAATTCGTGATGGTCACTTGGGCTTCTGAATTGCCCCTTTCTCCCACTGTTTTTCTTGTCACTTTTCCTCTCCTTTCCTTTTTTTTACTTAGCTAGATGGTCTGTTTTTACGAACTGTCAAACCCATCTGATTGAATACCAGGTTACATAGGGACACCCTCAATCTGAAAGGAGGACCTATGTGCTCTCAGTAGATTGGTGATCGTGCAATTTAGAGGGAAACCTGCTTTTAATGCTTAGGACCATTCTGGGTCCTTTATGTGTCTTAACTCATTTAATCCCTTCAGTAATTCTGAAAGGGAACTGCTTTCACAGATGATAAATCCAAGACACAGAAAGATTACAGAATTTGCCGAAAGTCACACAGCTAATGAGAGATGAGCCAAGACATAACCCAAACCAGTCTGTGTCAAGATTCTCTATGAAATTCAAAAAACGAGTACCTAGAACTAACCCTGCTCCTCTCTCCTCTCAGAAATAGGGCAGCTAACACCTGAATGTCTCTGAAAAACCATCTTGGTCTAAACCACCTTGGCTCTAAATTTTATGATTTAGAACAGAAATGTTAAAAAAAAAAGAACAGAAATGTTCTAGTGAAAGGAGGTGAGTCATCAAAAGTGTAAGAGCTTGGCCAAACTCCTTCAGCATTTCTTCCACCAAGGAAATACAGGACTATTGCTTTCCTAACTCTTTTTCAGACTGGAAGATTGTATCTCAGTCACCACCCCAGCAACCCACTTCTGAAGAATCATTTCCGGACACGAGTATAGAGATGGCCCCTGGGGAGTCAGAGCACAGAAAGGGTGAACTTGGGAAGAGCTTCAGTCTGAGACCAGTACTTTCACTACAGCAGACAGTTCCTAAAGAAGTGCGTCCTGACAAACGTGAAACACACTCTAAGAGATTTGAGACTTTACAAGTAATTAAACCTCACAGAGCGAGACCGTACACATGTAATGAGTGTGGCAAAGCCTTCAGCTACTGTTCTTCCCTTTCTCAGCACCAGAAGAGCCACACTGGGGAGAAACCCTATGAGTGCAGTGAGTGTGGGAAGGCCTTCAGCCAGAGCTCATCTCTTGTTCAGCACCAGAGGATCCATACGGGAGAGAAGCCTTACAAATGCAGTGAATGTGGAAGAGCCTTCAGCCAGAACGCAAACCTTACAAAACACCAGCGAACTCACACTGGAGAAAAGCCCTACAAATGTAGTGAATGTGACAAAGCCTTCAGCGACTGTTCAGGTCTTGCTCAGCATCAGCGAATTCATACTGGAGAGAAACCCTATGAATGCAGTGACTGTGGGAAGGCCTTCCGTCACAGTGCAAACCTCACAAACCACCAGCGGACTCACACTGGGGAGAAGCCCTACAAGTGCAGTGAGTGTGGGAAAGCCTTCAGTTACTCTGCAGCATTCATTCAGCACCAGAGAATTCACACAGGGGAGAAACCCTACAAATGTAGCACATGTGGGAAGGCCTTCGGTCAGAGTGCAAACCTCACAAACCACCAGAGGACTCATACAGGAGAGAAACCCTACAAGTGCAGTCAGTGTGGGAAGGCCTTCAGCCAGAGTACAAATCTTATAATCCACCGAAAGACCCACACTGGGGAGAAGCCATACAAATGTAATGAATGTGGGAAATTCTTCAGTGAGAGCTCAGCCCTTATTCGACATCACATAATTCACACTGGAGAAAAGCCCTACGAGTGTAAGGAGTGTGGAAAAGCTTTTAACCAGAGTTCATCCCTTAGTCAGCATCAGAGGATTCACACTGGTTTGAAACCCTATGAATGCAGCGAGTGTGGAAAGGCCTTCAGGTGTAGGTCAGCTTTCATTAGACATCAGAGACTCCATGCTGGAGAATAGCTGGGAACACAGTAGGTGGAGAAAGCCCCAGATGTGCCAACTCATAACTCAACATCTAAATCAGGGCAGGTGGGTGGGGCTCTCAGAGAAATGCTGAGGGCTTGAAAGCATCTTGGGATGTTTGACTTTCATAGTCTGTCGTGCACAGCTACATGCAAAAGCACCTCTAATAAATACTTGGTCAGGGCCAGCCCGTGGCTCACTTGGGAGAGTGTGGTGCTGATAACACCAAAGCCACGGGTT